ACGACCAAATTTTAAACGAAGATCACCTATGCGGTCCAAAATGTAATAGTAAGGGTACCGCTAAACGACCAAATCCTAAACGAAGATCACCTATGCGGTCCAAAATGCCTTAAACTCGTATTACTCGTGCGGTCCAAAAAATGCAGGCGGCCTTGTTAACGTTGTCATATAATTAGCTTATGCTCTGAAGCTTAAGTTGCTTGAACGCAGATGGCTGCACTAGCAAAAGTAACGGCAGCAAAAACAGAAAGTGGTAGAAACAAAATCGACGATAAAAACATATTAGAATGACGACACAATTTAAGGCAAAAGTGCAGCAGCACAAAACTTAAAAGTACGTAATTCCGGTCTTGAATGATGCAGATGGCCTTTTTAGCTTCGTCGTGCATGTAATTTTCTTTACGGTAACTTGGGACTCTCGTGTGGTAGCGTCTACTGCGTAAGTTGCGGTAAGCTTCCCTCGGGCTACTTCTGGTGCGCAGAAGCTGCACTAAAAGCAGCAACAACAGCAACGACAACAACAAAGACACATGGTTCCACGAATTGTAGAAATAAACGCAGCAACGCATGAAATTGTAAGTGCGTACACGTTACTGTTTGACCGGTTTTGTTCATACCACGCTCAGTGCGTCTGCCCGGCGCAAGCAAGCCACTCGTTGTTGGCATTATATTTGTTTTGCTATCAAACTATAAAACTTTGATTGCAGCTGTGATTGGCTGAATCGAATTTCTGCGGACGTGGTGTCTCTCACCGGAATTGAATTGTCAGTGACCGTAGTACTAGTGTGTGTGGCATAAGTAACGCCCAATTCGAAAACCGTATATCAATTCAGAGTCTGGTCATTTGAGGTCACATTGTGGTAGCTTGACCTGTCATTGTGACAGTGACCAATATCTAGCTAAGAGTAGGTTGACGGTGTCTCGAAGAGACCTCTTTCTTGAGTTTTGATGACATGTTCACGCTAATGTATCTGTTTGGTGTAGTTTTGTAAATCTTCTTGTCATGGGACGTAGCCTCAAGCGAAATTTGCTAAGAGGTGCGTTTATAGAATGAATTATTTGATCAGTCTTCTTTTTGCGCTTGTTTATCATTCGACAAAAAATAAGCTATCATACATTTAACCTGCAGTAAAATGGTTACAACATTGTGTCGATGCCATACTTCGACTGCACGCCTTGCTTTTTTCATATTTTGTAATGCATAGTTTACTTGTTAATATTGTGATATTCATAAGATGACGTTTTTAAGGAGCCGTTAATATGTCCTCCACTTTTGCTGGTTTGTATTAACCCCATACATATAAAAAAATTGTGTTGAAGGCCCTAAAATAATCAAAATTGTGCCGCAAGACTTTTAAGACCTCCATTTATCTCATGTCACTTCAGCTACATTGTACCTCTGACCTCGATCTATTAGGCATGTGAAAATCCTTTACCAGCTCATGGGAGAGATGTTTGATCCTGTGGACGAAGCACCTTACGCTCTTGACGATATGACACTAACAGAAGGCTTTTCTACATCAATCAGACAGCAACAAAGGGTGGGAAACTTTATAGACGAAGAAATAAATTAGTGATCATGCAATGGGCATGCAGCGGCCGCTGACTCAATTTTGGGGCATATTCAGGTCTGGCGCCTCTTTATCAGCGGATGGTCTAGCCGCGTTACTAGCTGCTGTTTTATCGCTCACTGTCACAATATAGAGAGGTCAGGAACAATTATACCATATTTTTGTCAAATCTAACCATGTAGATCATAAGCATGATTCCTTGGTAGGCAGCAAGGTGCGTTCGCATAAAAATATGCTTACAGAATAACAATATCCATTAGATGTTGTGATTCCGCGTACATGTATCAGTGCTGTCGCGTGTCGCTGTCTCAATCCGGCAGTTTGGTATTGCGGGTGCTATTGCGTGTAGTATATAAATGCGCGCTATTAAATGCCGCAGAGCACTAGGAGGGCTGTCGACACTTGCCTACTTGTTTGAAGGTCTATCAGCAAAGAAAGACAAAAAAAATTGCTGCAGTACGGGGAACTATATGCTGAAAGCAGCTCTACCACCTTTTTGCCTTTCATCTACCTAAACAATTTCTCCCGGTTCAGCGGAAGTTGGGGTGGTTTGATTGACGCCACTTCCAAAACTAAGCGATGTAGACTACAAGTAATGCTTATTGTGTGTGTCACTGCCACCAAAGATAACCACACTTTCGCATAATGCCTTATGCTTTATGCGCACGAAAACAGGAGACCATAGTTTCAGACCGTCGCCCTAACATATGCTGATACATCAGTGTAGTGAAGCGATTTTTTTTTAAGAATGGTGAACTCAGGGATCGATGAGCCGGGTGGACGTGGGACCTCGCGGCCAGGAAAGGGACCGGGGACTTGAGAGGCACAGGTAAGGAGTGGCCGTTTGGTCCAACCGTGACGAGCGGTTCAGGTTACTGTAACGAGATTAAAATGACCAACGGTACCATTTGAACGGTACCGATTTGGATTGTTCGCAGCCACTCGTCGGTCGGCCTGGTCACCCAAGGTAAGCCCCGGTAACCCGTGGGCCGACCTGGCCACCCATCGGCCAACCTGCCCATCCATAGGCTGACTTGGCCTATCAAGTTCTGGTGGCTTCTGGTCACTCATCATAGAGAACCCAGGTGCAAGAAAAAGATAGAGTAAAGTAGTTTAAAGGCTAGGAAAAATAGTAAATAATACTCAATTTGTGATCTAAGTAGCACGGTGTGTCGTGCGCTAAAAAAACTTGTAAGTCTACCGACCTGTTCCGGGTCAGGAATATATTCGACCCACCCGTCAAATAGATAGTGTACATTAAGACCCAGGCGTAAGTAGATTCCCAGGGAGTATATTGGCCTGTGGATTCGTAGCGTAGCACCCCCCCCCCCTAACTCAAGCTCGCTATAGGAAGCTGTCTCCATACCCTAGTGGTAAAGGAGAAGAAACATAGAAGCCAGGCGGTTAACACCCCTGATACAACTCAGGCCAGGCGCTACCAGCACCTGAGACAACTGGTTATAAGACCTCTCTCGACCAAGTCGATCAAGTGGCCGCCTAAATTGGATCCAAATTGAAGCACATCCGCTAGCCCCCCAGGTCGACCTCCATCAAGGCCGACGTCTGCAATCATCACAACGTCATCTTAAAAGTAAAACGTACCAGCCGACGGGTACACAAGTTGAGTCAAGGTCCACAAGCAACATCAGGTTACTCTCTCCGACAGTCGGCAGATCGGCACAGTGCGTGTTTGGTGTCTCGTTAACCAGTTTTGGCAACCTACTGCACCACAATGGTTCTCGTGCCCAGATCTTTGGCAGACGAGCTATTTTCCGCTAGCCTTAATATTAAGGAGACGTTAAGGTCAAGATAGAACCGAAGACTGAAGAACCACCGGAAGACCGAACGTCAGTGACACAAGAACACAAAAACAAAGAGTCGAAGGACCGATTGGACCTTGGGAGGGATCCGGTCAACTTGGTCAAGGCTGAACTCAATACAAAAACGTCCACACCCTCCCTTCGTCCTCGTTGCGGACGTCTTGGGTCATGATACCTATCATTACCAAGTGGAACATCTACCGACGGTAGATACCGAAAAGCTATGGTCCCTAAGACAACAAATTCCCACAATCGCCAAGTCTAAGCTGAAGAAAGCCAGGGTGAAAGCGCCAGGGGACACGAAGTCGATGGATCCCGAAAACTCAGGACCCTCAACAATTTGAACCATCGGCCGATGACGAAACACGGAAAGCTATGGTCTACGACACAAAAAAACGTAAGATCGCCAAGTCCAAGCCGAAACATACGAAGACGAAGACGCTAGCGGACACCAAGTCGGTAGGCCCTGCCCAAGAAGGGCCGCCAGCCTGACCGGAAGATGCAGTAGCGATTACTTACCACCGACGCAAGCTGAACAAACTCTTGGCAAGCGAACCCGTCGCGGAATCCCTGAATATCCGGCTGCTTAAACGACTAGGGGACCGGTGTCACCCCTGCCATGAATTTGGACGGTCATCGAGGCGGTCACTGAGCTTTGTACCCTCCTCCGCGAGGCAAACATGGCTGCAGGAAGGATCGAGCAAAACACTATGATAGATCTGAGGCTTAACAACATCACAAGCTTCTCAGAGAAGTTGCACAAGCGAATAAGAATTCTAATTGGGACCACCACCAGACACAACAATGTACCACCAGCGCAATCTATGACTGCACCGTCCTGCGACAGCCAGATGACGCCCCTAAGACTTCGAATTCCAATCTCAAGCGCGACCACAGCTCGATAACCCAAGGGTGATGCGCTGTCCCCTACCACCAAATCTACCGCCATATATCCAAGACGCGGATGAGTGGCCGTCACATGATATACTGCTCTTGACCAGTATGAAAAGATGCCGCTGGGACTGGCAGGAGCAGCGATGCTTTAGGCTTGTGCAAGAAGCGAAGAGAAAAATCAATATGCTCACGCAACGTCAACACGTGTCTACCCAAGGGACATTCAAGCGCCTGATAGGATGACTTTTCACCCAATGGGATTTCAGCACGATCGTAACAGGAACTCTGCACCACCACGTGACGAATATGCTGGGAAGGACGCGCATAACAACACGGTAGGTATGTTGCACGTATACTTTGACGCGGCAATGGCACAATTTCTACAGGAACGCCAGATACAATAAGGAAACCAAGATGGAAATCTACCGCAGAGGCACAAAAGGCGCAGGTGACAGCGGCTCAAGAAGCACCGAGGATGCGCATGCAAGTTTCTAGACGACATACTATGACTGATGTGGAGTTGGAATCAGTCGGTGCGTGCGAGTACGACCCAGACGACATGGACTTGTAGGGACCACTGGCAAGGATAGCAACAGTTACGTCAGGACAAATTTCTAACATTGTTCCTCGCATTTAACTTGCATGGATATAGGTATTCAATTATTTCCACGAAAAAGATCAATACGAGTACCGAGCACGCAGTTGAGTTACCGTGATGAAAATTGCGTTCAAGAGAGATCCAGCGCCCGACGATGAAAAGCATCGTGTCTTCGGTGAATTGCTAACTGAACCAGATCAGAACTGGTATCGGTAACTTTGTCGCTCGGTTCAATCAAGCTGGAAGGATCTCTTACATGAGTTTATATTGCAGTTCTGGGGTTTGGGATGACAGTTTCTCGCCAATACTACACGGCGAAGAAAAGGTCAAAGGAGTCACCATTGGACTACCTGTACAACTCAATGTGATCAGACTCAGGGAGAATATCGAGATCAAGGACGGACCGCCCAAGATGCATAAAGAACATGTTGAGCACTACATCGAGACTTTGGGCGACCCGGAAATGGCAGATCAGCTCACAATATTACACCTGGCGGATGCGAACGTATTGGAAGACGTGCTGAGAGCCAAGAAGAGGACGAAAGCGCGGCGATTCAAAATACTCTTTGAATCAAGCAAGTTTCTCCAAAAGGCACTAGTACCCCGGACCGACCAAGAGGGGGTAACCCGCCGGTTGATACATGAGGTTCGGGCGACCTTGAAAAAGTCTAGTTCCAAAGATTTAAGCTTGGACAACTCAGGTGACTTGAGACGAATTCACCTGATGGCAAGAGGAGGGCATTGAGACTCAGTTAAGAAGATCCCATGAAGCCGCCCTACCCGAGATGCCGACCAACACCGTCACCAGAAAGATGATCAGGGACCTCGCCCGTCATTGGCAGCCTAATATTAAAAGTACGTTCATTATGGATCTCGAAAGCATACATATTTAGATTGCTGGAAACGACTTACGTGTGACCGCTGTGGGAAGCAGGGTCAACCAATGGGTCGTTGCTTGTTTGTGTGCAAGGGATGTGTAGAGGTCTACGAGACCGGAAAGTGCCATACGGTAGAGCTTATAAACAGATTTGTCAATGGTAAACCCGAACAAGTACGCTAGGATGTTGCCGGAGAAGGCGGAGAAGGTGATATGTTAGTACGCTCTCCAGATTAGAATCTGGTACGTCCGATCGTTCTAATTGTCATCTACTTGCACATGCCGAAAGGAATTTCGAAGAAGATTTAGGTACCCCAGTGGAAAAGAGTTTTAAAGAAGGCAACTCAATCAAAAAATTGGGAATATATTGAGGACTGAAAGCTACCTTGTGGTTTACGTTGCTTTTCTTAATCTAATTGTCTTTGATTAAGGAGAAGCAGTGATGAAATTAAACCTTCAGCCAGGTGAATACGGGGCTATTATAAAAAAATTATCCTGCAAAATGGTCTAAGCAGGTCAAGGCCTCTGGAAAAGTCAATTACGCCTCGCGCAAACTTGTTATTTGATGCTGGTGCCGAGATATCCATTATGCATATCGCCTTTGCTCGTAAGAAAGGTTGCCAGAATGACGAAAGTGCACGACAAGAACGTGTAGATATTGGGAAATTGAATTATACCACAGAAGGATGCACTCGCATCAAGATCACCTTGACCGAAAACTTGGTGTATACATTAAAGGTACGGGTGGCCTTATGGTAGGCCAAGGTTCAAATTTGGGGATAGACTTCGTGATTCCAGCTGGCATCTGTTTATACCTGGGAAGGGAAGTGAAGCACTTTGTCTCCCAGATGAAGTTTCTTATACAACTGGCCGATCATCGAACGCTTTACAGTGGCAGAGTGACGGACGTAAAGCTAGGCCAAATCGCATTTTTAAAAAGCTGATGGGTATGTGGAAGTACCCCTGAAAAGATCGACCTCGGAGCAGAGTGTGGTATGGGTGACGAGAGGAGAAAAGTGAGTCACTACGTTTAGTAAGGAGTCAGACGACGTCAATTCTTGAAGGTGGCCGATGTCAGAACACAGTTTCTAAGGCTACATGACAACACCAGGATTGGCGTGTTGTTGGATAAGGATGAAATACCGAGGACGCTAGAGTTCGTCACTGTGAGCGCTCAAAGAAACGCTGAATGGTGTCATCTGGCGTACGAAGCTACCATTTACCAGGAAGACCATCATTAGGACCTGATAGAGCAAGAAGAGGGACCATTAGTGGACAAACCTCGATATGAGATTTCATTACACATTCTGCAGCAACCGCGAAAGTTCACCCAGGTGCTGACTGTCTTACCCCATCAGCTGCCAGTAAAGGAATTACCAACATGCGAAAAAACGACTGCCGTCACCCAACCTCTGGAAGCCGCCGGCACTCTGCTGATGAAAGCCACGGACGCTCGGACTTATAAAGCTGGTCCCTGAAGCAAGAAAGAAACTTTAGGACCTATCACAAGCCGACGACTAAGTGTGCACCTTCGGAAGCAAATTGCTGTGAGGCTTGTAAATACGCCAAGGAATGGGCAGTAATATCTAAGTAAATCCCTGTCCCGAAGGCATCGAGTTAAAGGACATAAAGATCCCTCATTCGGATGAAAACACGCCTGAAGAGGTGGATCGATTGAAACGAATCATACGGAAGAAGTGACATCTGTTAGTGGGAAAAGGCAACGCCCTTCCACCAGCCGCTCGTGGTACCATCTGCGACATTGATGTGGGAAGTGCAAGAATGATTGCACAACGCGTGCGAAAGGTAGCCCCTCATTCAAAAAAATGTTGACAGAACCTTTTAAAGGTCTATTGTAAGCGGAGATTATTCAACAGTCGACTCCGCCGTGGAACAGCCCAATAATGATCATAGTGATGACGAATGGGGTAGATATCAGGTTCTGCATTGACTACAAGTTGGTAAACGACTTGACTCAGTTCATGGTCCACCCCATGCCACAAATTACTGAGCTCTTGGAAGATTTGGATAGTGCGTTGTGGCACTGCTCTCTCAATACGGCAATTGAGTTTAGGTGGTCAGCATGACTGAGAGGGCAAGGTTGATTTAGCCTTCGTCATCCTGTTATGAATGTTCAATTGGCTACGGATGCCATTTTTCGGACTAAAGAAAGCACCACATGTTTAACAGCGCCCTTTAGACAACGCGTTATACGGGTTTTTACGTAAACCCTCCCGAATTAGCTTGGATGATCCAGAAGATTTGTTTGAGTCGGGGAAATTAGACACAAATTCAGGCCCCTCGATATAGGGTCGTCTTCGTACACAGACGGCATACTAATACCCGCCAAATGTTGGGACGCGTCTATAAAAAGGTGGAACGGTTGCTGGACGTATACGAATACTGAAATTCGTCATTAGTGCAGTCAAGAGTTTGTGGAGATGTCGGAGATGTCGGAGGGTCGACTACGTTGGCCACTGGGTATCCAGAGAAGTATTGGAAGCGCACCCAAAGGACTCACAATCACTTATTGACCAACCTCTACCAACAACGCTCAGGAAATGCAGTCGTTCCCTGGAAGTATTTATTACTATAGCAGGTTTATCGAGGATTATGCGATATTTTCATCGATCCTGTATGAGCAGAGAGAGGCGAACTTCATGCGAGGGGATGCAAGTTAAAGGATGACGACTCCTCAGTGACCACGGCAGAAGACGAAAAAATGGTCTAGAGCTCAAGTGGCTTTTGCAACTCTCTCTTACAAGACTGCTACAGCATCTATTCTGCAACATTTTGACCCATCGAAAAAGAGGCAATTAATTTATACTCGAGCGAATGAGCAATTACAGCGTTGCTGGTGCATGAATATGACGGCGCAAGTGTGCCAGTGACCTTCACGATCCGAACATTTTAAGACCAACAAATTAAAGTATAGTACCGTGGAGAAAGAAGTGTTAGCGATTTCACGGAAATTGGAAGAGTGTCTTATGATGTTGGTCACCCGACCTCTCGGAAAACTACCGAGACACTCGACGCTTTCCTGGTTAGTCAGATCCTTTGAATTGCAGGGGTGCTTCGAAAATTGGGCCGCTCTCTCATCCTAGTGGACATTAGAGATTGTGAAGTACAAGAAAGGCGAAGAGCGGTTGCTGAAAGAGTTAGCAGACGGTTTAACCCCCCCCGCCTTGAGAGTGTAGACTTGATCCTATCGTCCATCTCACCCAAGAAAAAAGCGAAACAGAAGATTAACTGACCTACGCCCACTTTGGAAAGACACGAATAGCTAAATGTACTGATCTTGCATGGTAATGATCGTGTGAATCAAGGAGGTGGACCCTATAGCGTTGTCGTATGGAGCCTGCCTACGTTGTCGGTAGTAAGCACCGCCTTAAATTTTCTCAAGGTATCCATGGTGAATGGAGCCGAATACGAAGGCATGTTGCTGGATTTCGACTTGAACCTTCGAATCGACAGGGACTCATCATCAGTGAAGACTCCAAGCTAACTGTCAGGCAAATGCGCAGGGAAATCGAGTGCAAGGCTTCAGGTTGTCTCCGTTGCATGCAAAAACAAGCTTCAGTTGTGAATTTTTACGAGGAACTCTACGTAATGCGAAATTGACTCTCAGTGCAGACCAGCTGGTTAGTGAAGCATTAGAAATACAAGAAGGGGTCGAGTCGGTACTAAGAGAAGAGTGGCCAGGGTTGGAAGTGATCTCCCGACTGCCAGAGCTGCTGGTCATCAGAGAACAGGATCTGACGGCTAGAGTATTTGCGGTGACCCGACCAAGGCCACCACACAAAATATACAAAGAAAAGAAGCCAGGAGTTGTGATACAATAGCTGCGATTGGAACGTATCCTGAAGTCTCAAGAGGAAGAGAGCTGAATAATGAATTTGAAGGCGTATCAATGAGGTATCTAGGAGATATTTTGGCAGATACGCACATGCATGCAGAAAAATTGCCAGAGTTTATGAGATCAGCGAAGAAGGATTACTGTTGCTTTGCCCCATCCACAAGAACTACAAAGGCGAACGAGAATTGACCGCCTGACTGGTGATCCCCGAATCCATTCAGACCGATGTTTAACATCACAACCAAGCCAGTCTAGAGGGCGGTCACCGAAGGGATTGGTCGCACCTACCATCGAATTCGCAGGATTTGCCATTAGGGAGGTTTCGAAGTGTGCAGCGATATGCGGGCTTATGTGTAGAATGCGAGACGGGAAAAGGAGGGCCTACCTTTCAAGGGACGACCCCGGTACTGTCGAGTCCACTTACCCGTTTCTGGCCATATTAATGGATCATATCTCCTCATTGCCCAAGTCACATAAGGTAACCACTGAGCACTTAATTTTGGTCGACTTATTTACAAAGTGTAACGGGGGCACCCTGAAGCTTGTACTGGTGACAGTACAAGCTACTTATTCTGATAACAGAATAAGGCGGTGCCTCGTAACTTCACGTACACTCGTACGTGCAGAGGAAGACGGTAAGAAGAAGCGAGTACTCGGTTAGAGTAAAAGTAGAACTGTATTTATAATAGTTAATGTCTGCAATAAATCACTATTTATCTTCATCTAACTATGTCTAAATACAAATGTGTAAATCAGTTATCTGCTCACCACTCATTGCGTGCGTCTGTCGTGGCGCGTCTTCGTTGGTTGATATAATGGCCTATATCAACCAATTAGGAACTACTTGAAGTGCTACAGAATATTGTCCTTATGACAATATTCTGAGAATATAACTCTTATAGTTATATTCTATTAACAATTTCTTATAAATTGTTATGTAACGATTCACCCCGTTACATCACCCCCTTAACCATCAGTCACTTTAGTGACTGATTGACTAAATGGATACTCGTCCCAAATCATTTGGGACGGGGTTTGCACTTGTTGGTCCGCGTCCACTTTCCAACATCTCATCGCATGGTAAACAAGCCCATGCGATGCGCGAGCAAGGCCGCCGAGAGCGCGTCTGCACGTCTCTGTGCGGACGCCGAAGCAGAAACTACAGCAACTGATGTCCCATCGGTTGCTGAATCGACTCAGCCTGTATCACCTGGTGATGCAGGCGCTGGTCATGAAGACACTCGTGTCTTCACAGAGTACGAGCTCGGTGTCTCGTACTCTCCTGATACGGATGACGGATCCGTATCGACGGCAATTGAATCCAAGCCGCCTGCCAAGCGTGGCATGGACGATGCTTTGCGTCGCAGCATCTTTGGTTCATCTGATGAGTCAGATGAACCATCGCCGAAGCGAAGGCGCTCGAGGTCGCGAGACTCGGGCGCTAATAGTGGTGTCGTTTCTCCAATGGACACCACTTCACAGCGAGGTGCCAGTACTTCTGTCGGCACGTCGCAGGAAGAGCGGGACCGCAATGTGTTGCGTCTCGCTCCAGAAAAGAAGGCATGGATGCCTCCTAAATCTGTCATGGATCACTTGTCGGCGACGACGAGTGATCGTTATCGAACACGATTGTTCGATTCGTCAAGGATCCATCACCTTGACCCCAGCGCGAAAGACTATCGCGCTGAACATGAGTTCTTCATCGATGCTTTCTTCAGACATCGATGGTACAGTGGGAATCACAAACGTGATGGTCCCTCACTACTTCAGGCGTGGAACGCCTACATCCATAATCTCGAGGATGTAGGTCGTGACGCTTGGAACGACAAACTTATCAAAGCTCGTGATAAGTTTGAAAAGCGAACCCCCGACAGGTGCACGCTACAAGCTGCATCGTCTGTCAAGGGAGAAAGGATTACCCTGCCTTTCTTGGGGAGACTCGTGCCCATGTTGTGTGAACAACTCTGCACGAGCACCCAAGGAGGCTTACCTCCTTACCAGCCCGTGGTGGCGCGTACGTGTCTCTACTGAGATGTACGAAGGGATTGACAACCTGAAATCCCTTTACGACCGTGCCGGGAAGACTTTCTCCGGCGGTCCTTCTGCGGCACAGGATGTGTCGCGTCGTACTGCTCGACCAGACCCAGTACGTCAACCATCAATTGGGAGCGGGGCTCCCAAGAATCCCAGGACGGGGGATAGCCGCGCCACCGGACGAGGTAACTCGTCCGACGTCCGTTCACGTCGCGGTGGTTCAACAGCTGCTCTACTAGATAGCGCTGGCCACCGCGAGAGTCCTCTAATGGAGGTGGAGGAGGAGGAAAGACGCTCTCCACACGATCATGTGGATCGGTGTGTTCCCGAGAGCTTTTTGATCGCGTAACGCAAGGGTTACGCGACGATCTCGAGCATGAGCGGAATAGGCGTCTCCAGATGGTGGACACTGCCTTGAAGCATCGAGCTGAGTTTGCCTTTGCTCAGCTTGAGAACGAGAGATCTCTGACATCTCTTCGTGACGAGCTAAGGGTAGCTCGTGGGATTGTTGATCGGTCTCGGGCTGAGATAACTGCTCTTCAGACCCTTGTTGATGCCCACCATCGGGAGCACAAGGCTCTCTGCGAGATGCTTGAGCGCAAGGGCGTTCTTCATCGGAAGAAGCAGCGTACTGATGGTACGGCTTAAGCCGACCAACGTAAAACGTGGGATGCGTTCGCATCTTACGTGGTAACTCGATCGTGTATGCATTGCCTAGGCGGTGCAATACACGAAATGGCCAATGTACTTGGGTAGTAGTTTACTGCTACCCAAGTTAGTCACTACATGTTTTGGTAGATTAACCGTAGACAGTAGGACTAAGTCACCTTTATTAAATAAAAGAGTGTTTGCCCTTCCATTCTTGTCAGCGTTTTGCTTTTGCTTATCCACCGCTTCGGCGATGGAGTCTTGCACAAAACGGACTACCGTTTCACGAGCCAGTATGAACTCATCTGATGACTCGTTAGCTTCAGTGTGCTGTGAGCGCACTGCAGCGACAACAACCTTTCTTCAGTGAGGGCTTCCGCACTCTCACTGGGATCATTGTCTTCAGTGAGGGCTTCCGCACTCTCACTGGCATCATCTTCTTCGATATCGATGTTATCGATATCGGCATCAAACGCAATGACTTCTTCGTCAGAGCGTGATGAGCGTGAACCAAATCGGTTTTTGCTCGCGCGAGTCCCTCCCCCTTAAACCAGAGTTACACTCTAGTAAGGTGGGTACACGCGGATGGCGCAAGCCATTCACGTAAAACGGTGTATGTGTCGTGGACGCATGCACCGAGTTGTTGATGGCAAACTCTACCATCGGCAAAAACTCACTCCAACTCTTAAAGGAGTGTACGTATCCTCGAAGTATCTCTTCAAGGACACGATTGGCACGTTCCGTCTGACCATCTGACTCTGGATGATCAGATGTTGACATCTTCAAGCGCGTTCCGAGTGATTTGAACACGGAACGCCAGAAATCAGCAGTGAATCGTGGATCTCTGTCTGATACGAGTTCACGGGGCAACCCATGAAGTCGGAAGATGGTGTCAATAAAGACACAAGCACAGCCACTTGCCGTGATTGTCTCTGGTACAGCCACAAGGTGTACCATTTTGCTGAATCTGTCAACAAATACGAGAATACCCGTATTCCCGCGTGCGTCTTTGGGTAACCCGAAGACGAAATCCATTGAGATGGATTCCCAGCACTCAGCCGGAACCGGTAGAGGCTGTAAAGGTGCACGCAGTGAAGGACTTGACTTCACTCGTTGGCAGACTTCGCATGCGCGAACATACTTTCGCACAAACTGATACTGGCGGGGCCAGTAAAAGTCTCGACTTACCGTGAGATATGTTTTCTCTCGGCCACGATGTCCTCCTATAGGAGCATCGTGATACTCGAACATGATCCGCAAACGCAGATCAGTATCATCTGGAATGACAACACGTGGTGTGTCACCAGAAACGGCTGTATAGTACAGTAAACCGTTACGAGTAGTGTATCGATCTGATGCAGATCGATACGCAGACGACAATCGTTTCAACGATTCTCGAGATGGTTGGGAGAGATGTGACAACAACTTCACTATCTCACCATCTTGGGCGTATGCCCGCCTCACATCATCATACAACGTTGTAGATGGAACTGAGGACGTCATAACCGCAACAGTGACTGTCTCACTGTTGGGTTTCGCGACTGTTTCAAAGTCGGGACGACGTGAGAGTGCATCAGCGACGACATTAAGTCGTCCTGGTTTGTACTCGACCGTAAAGTTGTATTCTGCAAAGAATGACAACCACCGCGCCATTCGTTGTGAAAGGTGTGGGCTGTTCACTGCCGTGCGTAAGGACGCATGGTCAGTGTAAACAACGAAGGGTCTATCTCCTAATAGATAGACTCTGAACTTCGCGAGTGCATACTTCATGGCAAGGAGTTCCTTGTCATGCACTGGATAGTTCCGCTCAGCTGGTTGCAGCTGACGCGACTGATAGCAGACGACGCGTTCAACGCCTTCAGGGTCGTACTGCATTAATGCACAGCCGATTGCGAAATCGCTGGCATCACAGACCACATGAAATGGCCTGTCCTGATCGGCTATTGCTAGGACTGGGGATTGTATCAAGCTCTGCTTGATACCCTCAAAGGAGCGTTGACATTCAGCGTTCCATAACCACCTCTCGTTCTTTTTCAACAAACGAGAGAGGTGTACAGTCATCTCGGCGTAATTGCGTGAATACTTATGCAAATACGCCGCTAGCCCAAGGAATTTTCGAAGACCTTTGACATCGACCGGCACGGGCCAGTCGGTGATCGCCTTGATCTTTTCGGGATCAGGACGTACACCGTTCTTACCAACGATGCACCCAAGAAGTGGTATTTCGCTTGCTGCAAATATACACTTCTTGAGGTTTGCATACAATTGATGCTTTCGCATGATTGTAAGAACTTGTCGGACGTGGTACTTGTGAACCTCAACGTCCGACTTTCCATCCATAGCTCGACTATGGATGAATACGTCATCGAAATAACTCGGCGCGAATTCTCGTACTGGCCTCAACAGATGTGATACACACCTGTTGAACGTGGCAGGGGCATTACTAAGCCCTTGTGGCATTACTAGCCATTCCCAGAGCATGCCGCTAGGCGTGCTAACTGCGGTATAGGGTATATCCCGTTCCCGCATTAGGATTTGATAGAAGCCATCCATCAAATCCATGGACGAAAAGATGGTACTCTTTGACATACCATCAATGATTACGTCCTTCCTCGGTATCGGCGTCTGAGCCGGTACCGTTGCAGCGTTCAATTTGTTAAACGCGTGCACTATCCGCCACCCTCCTGTTGCTTTTCGCACACAGAAGGTCGGAGAGCTATGTGGGGAAGTTGATTCCCTCACATGGCCCGCTGCTAAACGATCGGCAAAGAACTTGTCGATCGCGAGTACTTGTTCACGAGGCAGTGGCCACTGCTTCATGACACAGTACTTCGAGCCTGGTTTAAGCTCGACTTCGTGTCGAATACCTTTATCCTTCGGTAATTCGCACGGAACAGTTTCAGGGAATACATCCTTGAATTCAACCAAATCTTCATAGAGAGGATTTTCCTTGAGCGATTCCCATGATTGGGACTCATATCGCTCAATTCGTGTCTTTTCATCTAGGACACTCTCGTCCATAGATGAACTACTGAGAACTCTCTCGTTCTCAGTAAACACTGTTGCTGACCTTATGTCGGTTACATACTCGTCTTCAGCGACGAGTATGCAGATCTGCTTGACTTTGCCACTACGCAGATCACGCAAGAATCTTTTATGTTCGAGCGTTGGCAACTGAGTGATCTCCGAAGTTAACTTCGGAGGCGCAATCAGATCAAGTGTATAAGCGCCTACACATGATCCGTTATTGACTATGACATTCAATGTCTCTGTCATTTCCTGGGGACTTATTCCCTCAGGCTTCGAAGGACTTATTCCTTCGTCTTCCCGGGGACTTATTCCCGCGGGTTTCGGGGAACTTATTTCCGCCGTATTTGTAATCTTGGGACTTATTCCCTTTACTTCCTCTAGCTGGGGTTGCGCAACCACAGCGAGATCCTCTACGAAAGACTCTCCAGTCGATCTAGGATTATCGTTTCGCTTAACCTGAGCGATCGATTGTTTCTCTTCTAGATGTTCCCCTCTAGGGATACATCTTTGTCCCAGTCCACCCGACTTATTCGAGTGGTGGACCTTCGGCGCAGCCTGTGTTTCCTCACAGCCGCCGGAACTTTGCTCCGAAGTGTAACCGTTTGGTACACTAAGGTTTTGTGCAGTCGTACTAACGACCGTACCACAAGTGAGGCCATCGCACTCACTCGTAGTACATCCACACGCTTGTGGACTCTCCAAAACGTTCATCAGATGGACATCTGATGAACAAGCGGCAGGCATCGTTACTGTCCGATGTTGCCAGTTTACCCGTGGTTCGTACCTTCTGAGCCACGGTATTCCAAGGATGACATCAAATTTGTCATCCAAATCCAATACGATAAAGTCATCGTCGTATTGGGTATCTTCTAGCGTATAGTGAATCTTCACTATACGCTTCATGACGGTTACGGATGCGCCTGTCGCAAGACGTACCGTCATCCTCGTAGGAGTTGTGTCACATTCACTGAATTTAAAGTGACCATCTTCTAGCGATTGGCGTCGCACAAAATTGTTGGACGCCCCACAATCGACTAGAGCTCGAAGGGACAACTTATTCGTCACTTCGAGTTTCAAGGTAATGAGTGAGATCTCATTACCTAGAGCAGCAACGCACAATGTCTGTGTGTTGGGAGCAACCTTCATCAAGAGGCCTACAAATTCTCTTGACGTTGCTGGATCAGTAGGGTGCTCCGCACCTACTAATCCTGTCCGTTTTTTGACGGTCCATCCCGTTGTTGCGTCTTTGCACCAACTGCGGACCCTCGTCCCTGCCCCTTTCTCATGGGTGGACGGTCACTACGCCCAGTGTCGCGAGACACTGGACGAGGGGCACTACACTCGTAAGCGTAGTGTCCTGTCTTTTGACATCTGTTGCATCTCTGCAACTTCTTGTAGCCTGTAGAGCGAGCCTTCTCGCTCTCTACATAACAGAGTTCCATCGGCTCTGGACCTCCGTTGTCATATCGTCTCGGTTGACGATATGATGTCGAGCTGGCGCGAGCCTGTCTCAGACTGAAGTCTTCCTGCTCCGCAATTGAAATGGCTTGTTCTAGTGAATCTAGTTCAAGCCGGAACAGGTGAGTCTTGACGGGACCATCCGCAAGACCCTGCATGAACACCGAAACCAACGTGTGTTCATCCACCGGATTGGAACTTATACAACTCGTGAGATGTCGTATATGTTGAGCGTAAGCGTGCACATCACGCTTACCCTGCTTGAGCTTCAAGAGTTCGGTTCGAGCTCTGAACTCAGCTCTAGGCGGTTCAAACGTTTGTCTGAGCCGCGACTTGAAGACTTCCAACGACCCAAACGCGTATGGGTCGTGCAGCTTGAGCCCCAGTGCCCAAGTCTTGGCACGTCCTGCCAGATTTGACTGGGCAAATGCAACTTGCATATCCCCGTCGTCGATGCGACGCGCCCTTATGGCGTCATCCAATTCGACGAACCATCTCAGGAGGGAGTCTTC